GCGAGTATCGCGGGTCCCCCCTTGTTTATATCTACTCCAGAAGGTGGGGTAGGGCTGAGTCATTATCTTGTAGGAGTTCCCCAGGTTATGAACATGCAAATGGAGGAGCTTTCCTGAGAAGGTTCTTTTGTATATGGATTGTTTCCTGAGGAGGTTTTCTGTTTCCTGAGGAGGTTCTTTTGTTATGTGGATTGGCTGTTGAAATTCTAATCTTATCTGTTGTGCTATTGTCAGATGTCGAGCCTTTTGTGTTTTTCAGGACAGGAAACCATGCCCTATTATTTTAAACTCTCTTCTTTCCTGTTGTGTTTATGTTTGTGAATTTCAGTGGCTTCCCTGTGTAATCTGACATGGTAATTGGAAGTGTTGTCCAGCCTTTCAGTGTCTTGGAACAAAATACTGTGTCCTGTTTGAGTTAGGCTATCTGTAATATGTTCTAGCAGTTCAAAAGCAAGAAATTGCAAGGAGATAAATTGGGTACTGCTTCGGTAGGAAGGTAACAGCGTTCCGTGCGCCTTGGCGTCTAGTCATGCCATCCACATGACCACAGAAATGTCTTCGGACAGCGCTGGCTCTTCGGTTTGGAAATGGTGACGGCTTCGACTAGCTTTCGAGCAAGGGAAACCTTTACCTTTACCTTAACTAGTCTATTCTGGGGGGGGGGAAGCATGTGTTTAATCTTTTTTATTAAATTAAATTAAGACAATTTAATTTTCTAAGCTCAAATGAGACCCCAGAATAATTAGGTGGGCTGGGACCACCCTTTAAAACAATTAGGCAGGTCCTGTCTGCCCAGTCCAGACTCATCAGGTCTCCTGCTGTTTTGGGAGACTTCTTGCTGTTCACCCACTGCCCAGAGATGGGGAGGAAATGGGAGGGGGGAGAGTTGAGAGGCCAGTGGCAGAAAGTCACTTTCAGTGAAAATCCAGAAGTGATGTCACTGCATCAGCATCTCCCCCCCCCCACACACATAGAGTTATTGAGGGATCCTAGAGTGTCACATTAACATGGTGACATCACTTCCACATTTTCAAAAAAAAAAGTGGCGGTGTGCTATTGGTGTGGTGTCTTTCCCATATCCCCACTCTCCCTCTAGTTGCTAACCAGTGGCTGGCAGTAGCTGCCCAGGCCCACCCTGAATTCCACACAAGATTGTGAGTAACCCTGTTCACATGTTACTGTAAACATGCCTATATCCCGCATGTATGTGCACATTTCTTTTTGTAAGAACGAGCCAAGCAGGCCCGTGGCTACAGTGGGGCCCCCTGGGGCCTCCCCCCCCCGACTTCGTGCCAGGGCCCCACACATTGCTGTCTAGCTCAGGCACCCTGACTCCCTGGGCTGTCCTGAAGACTCCCTGCACGACCACCGCTGCCCCTTCCATGCCTACCTTTTCCCCTGGCAGCTCCATCCCGCCCCCCGCCCCCAACTCGATCCCGGGCTGGCAGTTGGGGGGAGGGGAGCTGAGCTGGTGGGGCTGGCAGGAACTTTTGGTGGAGCTCAAAGGCTGGTGGGGCCGGGCCGGGGCGCCTCTTAAGAACACAAGAACATAAGAGAAGCCAAGTTGGGTCAGGCCAGTGGCCCGTCCAGTCCAACACTCTGTGCCACACAATGGCCAAAACTCTTCCTCCTCCTTCTCTTCTGCCTCCTCCTCCTGTGCCTGGGTGCCCAGCCGGAGCACCAGCAGAGGCCAGTTCTGCGGTGCCCGGCTTCCAGGGCACATTGGGGGAGGGGCTGGGGACCCTGAGCTGAGCAGCGGAGGCAGCGGCATGGGGCCCCCAGGTGAGGAAGCGGCAGGAGGCAGCCGGGCAGGGCGGCAGGCGATGTGGGGCTGGTGGGAACTCTTGTTGCCGCTCAGAAGCCGGCAGGGCCAGGCCATAGTGCCTCTCCCCCCTTTTCGTTACGCCTCTCCTTCTCCTTGTGCCTCCTCTTCTCCCTGTGCCCGGGTGCCCAGCCGGAGTGCTGGCAGAGCCTAGCTCTGTGTCGTTGGGCTTCCAGGGCTTGGGGAAACACCCTTTTTATTTTAATTTCAGTGCCCCCCCCGACTTGTTTAAAGGCAGCCCTGTTATGCCACTAGGGGTCCGCGGCACAGCCGGAGCTTGGCTCCCTTGAACAATAGGAACATAGGATCTTAGTTCCCCCCAGTCCCAACCAATAGCCACTTTGGCGGGAAATTCAAACCCTCCAATGGGCTAGGGGTGTGCTGGGTGGGGGTGTATATAGTTGGCCTTGCAGGGCCGTTTTGGTTAGTCTGATGTCAAGTACAATAAACGTGTGCAAACGCATGTCGTTGTCTGAGTCCTCCATGCGGCGAACCCAGTACTTTTCAACCCCGACTTAAGAAATCCTGGCTATGGGCCTGGAGCCAAGGCATGTCCATTTTAGAAATGTAACCAGGGACCAGTATCTAGATAAAGGCGTGGTTTCATTCTCACATTCAGCTTTTTTGTCAATTAAATGCCACAGGTAAAGGTTCCCTTGCTCGAAAGCCAGTCGAATCCGAAGACATTTCCGTGGTCATGTGGCCGGCATGATTAAACACCAAGGCGCACTGAAGTGCCCCCCCCCCGACTATTTATTTACTTGTAACTCCTTGCTTTCGAACTGCTAGGCTGGCACGAGCTGGAACTAGAGACGGGAGCTCACTCCGTCATGCGGCACACTCGGGTCTCGAACTGCTGAACTACTGACCTTCCACAGCCTGCAGTTCAGCGTCTTCACCACTTGAGCCACCGCAGCTCCTCTTAAATGCCATACACAAGAATTATTCAATACACATATAAAGAAAAACCACGTTTACACTCTTCATGGATTGCGTGTGCTTTCTCTATAACTTTTGAACAGGGTTACTGTTATATGTTCCCTAGGCTTTATCTCGAAGGTCTCGCAGAAAGGGTAGGCACCAGAGGTGCCTTAGGGATGCCAGGTCCTTACCAGGTGTCAGCAGAGTGGTGGGGGGGAGGGGGCCTTCCAGGAGTGGGGCAGGCTCTGCTCCCAAACAGCTCTGTCACCAACACCATGATATCATGTGGAAGTGACACCATCACATCAGGGATGTCGCACGGTGATGCTTTGGTTTGAGGGCAAAACTCTATGGTGAAATTGCCCTCAGACTAGAGTGTCGCCATGTGATGTCGCCCATGTGATGAAATCACTTCCTTGTGGGGGTGTTACGGTTTGGGGGCAGGGTTCCCTCCCTGGCCAATTGGCCGGCAGCAGGCATAAGCCCCCCCCCCCCCGGACTCGGGGCTTTCCACACACACACACACACACACACACACACACACACACACACACACCCCTCCACAACACAAAG